CATTACATGCTACTAACACATATTTAGCAGTTTTAATTTTTAAATTGTCTATACCAATTTATGCTGGGCAATTAGCAGAATTTTCTATCATTACATGCTACTAACACATATTTAGCAGTTTTAATTTTTAAATTGTCTATACCAATTTATGCTGGGCAATTAGCAGAATTTTCTAATTTAATATTTGTGAAGTTTATTAATTTATTATTTTCAACCAATTGATTGTTTTCACGGGACTTGGGTAGTTTGAATAATTGAAAATTATTATCGGAAACACTAACTTTTATTATTTGATTATTTTCATGAGTCATGACAGTAATTGATTAAACTGTACAACTTTGATATAACTGAAAATAATGAGAAATCATAATGACAGTATGTATAGTAACCAGGAGCCTACAGTGGAATCAGTTATAATTGTAAACACTAATTTTGATTAGTTTATTATTTTGTGACATTATTCAGTTTAATTGTAATTTCAGTTAATTTACGTGGTTTTGATTGAGTTAGGCTTATCACTTTATATGTAATGAAATAACAGGTTTTATCACTCCTCTATTCCAATACTTGAAATCAGCGTTATCAAGTAATATTTACCAATTGATTTATATTTTTTGGGAAAGTTACTTGTTTCTCCATGTTTTCAATGAAGGTTTTGTTTCACTATATGCTTAACATATTGATTATCATTAGAATTTATTGATAATTTTTTTGATTAGTTTGTTTTTTCCTGTTTATTTATTTTTATTTTCTTACAATTATTTGGTAATCACGAATATTTTTATCTTCCAGCATGTCAGACCTTTAAAGATTGTGATTCTTGTTCTTCTGCATTCATTGGGTTTGACTGTTCTTGGTGTGAGGCTGCAGGAAGATGTTCAGATGGTGTGGACAGACATCGCCAAGTTTGGATAACCAAAGGCTGTGAAAACAAAGTAATGAAATATTTTAAGAGTGAAATGGTGAAGAAATTGTTGTGTTGTGATTACAATGAATTATATCTGTAAGAACACAATAGAAGTATTGTAGTTTTAAACACTGCCCTTTTTATTGGGTCTCTTGGGAAGGTTTCCGAGAAGATGAGTAATAGTATTTCATCTTCACCATGTCCACCGCTGATGATGGTTTGCTTTATGAGCAAAAGGTGTTCATACCATAACAGTTGTTGTTGTAACAGATGGCTTATATAAATAGTGTTCCAACCACTACTGTGTTTGTTGTGTCTGATAAACCCTGGTATTGAGCAAAACACATTGTCAGAAATGGATATGGCAGACCGATGTGGTTTAAAGGGACTAAGTAAAGAGTGAAGTGTGTATAAAAAAATATAATTTAACTACTAAAAAGTTTCTATACATAGCTAAGCTTTTAACGAGAGGAGGTATCAATTATTGAAAGAAAAAAAATGGATGGTGATGGTGGCTATTTGGTAGGATTTATCGATTTTAAACTATTAAAGAATCATTCCAACAAATTATATCAGGGTTAGCTGATAAATATTGTCATGAGATATACATACCAATTATATCAGGGTTAACTAATAAATATTATCATGAGATATACATACCAATTATATCAGGGTTAACTAATAAATATTATCATGAGATATACATACCAATTATATCAGAGTTAACTAATAAATATTATCATAAGATATACATACCAATTATATCAGGGTTAACTGATAAATATTATCATGTAATATACATACCAATTATATCAGCATTAACTAATAAATATTATCATGAGATATACATACCAATTATATCAGAGTTAACTAATAAATATTATCATAAGATATACATACCAATTATATCAGGGTTAACTGATAAATATTATCATGTAATATACATACCAATTATATCAGGGTTAACAAATAAATATTATCATGTAATATACATACCAATTATATCAGGGTTAACAAAAATATTATTATGAGATATACATACCAATTATATCAGAGTTAAATAATAAATATTATCATGAGATATACATACCAATTATATCAGGGTTAACTAATAAATATTATCATGAGATACACTTGCCAACCAATTATATCAGGGTTAACTGATATATATTATCATGAGATATACATATCAATTATATCAGGGTTAACTGATAGATATTATCAGGAGATAAACATGCCAACCAATTATATCAGGGTTAACTAATAAATATTATTATGAGATATACATACCAATTATATCAGGGTTAACTAATAAATATTATCATGAGATAAACATGTCAACCAATTATATCAGGGTTAACTAATAAATATTATCATGAGATATACATACCAATTATATCAGGGTTAACTAATAAATATTATCATGAGATAAACATGCCAACCAATTATATCAGGGTTAACTAATAGATATTATCATGAGATACACTTACCAACGAATTATATCTGTGTTAACTGATAAATATTATCATAAAACGTCCAAAGAACATTTTTGGGATTCAGAAGTGTAAAAAATCTTAATCATAATCAGAACATATTCCTTTCTGAAACCTTATTGTTAGACTATTAACACAGTTCTTTAACTTCTGGATTAATTATTTATACACATATCTCTCTAAGTTTTTGTTATGTGTCAGCTGTTCTTCCCACACACTGTACACGCTATGGTTGGGTTTGCGACACAGATTTATACCATTTTCCATGTCTCACGCCATGACTTCCAATTCTTCAGGATCTGATAAATAACTGTTTCCTTTTACATTTAAAAATGGAGAGGAGAATTTCTGATGAAAAAATTTATTTAGGTTTTTTTGTTTGTACTTCTAGGAAACCAGTGAGTGTCCAAAACCAACAGATACCGTTCCTTTCATCCCATTCTTCGTACCTCCAGGAGTCTTGACAACAAAAGTAGCAAATAAAGTGTCTGGTAATATTCTAATAATACATCTTTAACTTGTATGTGTTTTCTTAATTTACTTTCATAGCCCAATCAAGATTTCGTCTCAGGGTTGCTGATTTTAATGATTTCTCATTGAGGAAAAAGTTTAAGATTTGCCAACTTTTGGCTTAAAAACCTCTATTTTATGTGAAAATCAGTGACTTTAACAAATGTACTCTTCTTTCTTGTGAACTGGGTGGTCTTTGTTTCTAAAACTTCTTATCCTGAAGAAACTTTTCACAACATTCACTATGATTGTGTTAAAGATTTACTAAGCCTCATCTTAAGGAAGTTGTTCATTGTAACCAGTTGGCATATCTTGGTTATTAACCAGTTTAAGTTTTTGTTCACACTCGCATGTTTCAGAAATATCCCATACAGTTTGAAGTAATGATCAACATTTTGTAAATTATCAGTTAGCTCTGAAAAATGCAGGTGAAATCTAGTTTTTGAATGGCTGTTAAAGTTCAATGTGAAAATGCTGATCAAAGTCTGTTAAGAAATCACCTGTTTTTGAAACTGTTATGATATTTTGTCTAAGTAACAAAGCTAACTATTTAAAGTATGAATATCTATAGTTGAAATGTGTCATATGTAGCGTAATTAATCAGTAGAAGTCATCATGTGATGAGTGAAGTTACTTATATGTAGCATAATTAATCAGCAGAGGTCATCATGTGATGAGTGAAGTTACTTATATGTAGCATAATTAATCAGCAGAGGTCATCATGTGATGAGTGAAGTTACTTATATGTAGCATGATTAATCAACAGAGGTCATCATGTGATGAGTGAAGTTACTTATATGTAGCATAATTAATCAACAGAGGTCATCATGTGATGAGTGAAGTTACTCATGTGCAGCGTAATTAATCAGCAGAGGTCATCATGTGATGAGTGAAGCTACTCATGTGCAGCATAGTTAATCAGCAGAGGTCATCATGTGATGAGTGAAGTTACTTATATGTAGTATAATTAATCAGCAGAGGTCATCATGTGATGAGTGAAGTTACTTGTGCAGTATAATTAATCAGTAAAGTCATCATGTGATGAGTGAAGTTACTTACATGTAGTGTAATTAATCAGCAGAGGTCGTCATGTGATGAGTGAAGTTACTCATATGCAGTGTAATTAATCAGTAGAGGTCATCATGTGATGAGTGAAGTTACTCATGTGCAGTGTAATTAATCAGCAGAGGTCGTCATGTGATGAGTGAAGTTACTTATATGTAGTGTAATTAATCAGTAGAGGTCATCATGTGATGAGTGAAGTTAATCATGTGCAGCGTAATTAATCAGCAGAGGTCATCATGTGATGAGTGAAGTTACTTATATGTAGCGTAATTAATCAGCAGAGGTCATCGTGTGATGAGTGAAGTTACTCATGTGCAGCGTAATTAATCAGCAGAGGTCATCATGTGATGAGTGAAGTTACTTATATGTAGTGTAATTAATCAACATAGGTCATCATGTAGTGAGTGAAGTTACTTATATGTAGCATAATTAATCAGTAGAAGTCATTGTGTGATGAGTGAAGTTACTCATATGAGCATAATTAATCAGTAGAGGTCATCGTGTGATGAGTGAAGTTACTTATATGTAGCATAATTAATCAACATAGGTCATCATGTGATGAGTGAAGTTACTCATGTGCAGCATAATTAATCAGTAAAGTCATCATGTGATGAGTGAAGTTACTTATATGTAGCATAATTAATCAGCAGAGGTCGTCATGTGATGAGTGAAGTTACTCATGTGCAGCGTAATTAATCAGCAGAGGTCATCGTGTGATGAGTGAAGTTACTTATATGCAGTAATTAAT